GCACAGAGCTCTGATATGAAGCTAGCAAATGACCTGTCCGGTCTCATGGCGTGCTAGATCGTGAGGCTCCTTTTGGCTAGTCCGTCCTGTACTTCGTTTGCGTTGGGGTCGCACATAGTCATGCGCAACGCAAGATCCAACCCTGGCCTACCTAGATCACAGTGGATTTGAAGAAACCAACAGCACAGAGTCAATGAGAAAGCAAGACATGATTGTCATCGGTGCCGGTTCTGTGGGTGAGTGAACATGCATTTCCACGATCAACGGCGATGAACTGTTGTCGCTCCCGATCGACGGGAGACCTGAAGAAAGCTCAGTCGATCACCCCGCATTTACTGCAACGGGGTTAAGCAGAATTTACTTCCAGACAGTCCTCGTCTCCTGTCCCCTGTAGCAGATTCACTAACTCCACCCAAGATTAATGGTTCTAATGGTTGTTGGTGTCTTTCCCAAGCAACAATGTCATTCTCTACAGCCCCTTCATTCATACCACAAAGTACCCCAGAGCAAGGTGCCATAAGAGATGAAGTCTGCCTGCAGATCGTGAGTTACCAGCCACAACCGAAAGAAGCACGTGATAGAATGTGTTTCAAGCCCAAGTACGGATTATCGTATGGACTCGGGAACAGTCGAGGATTACTCTTTTCGGCGACAGGGAATGGGACAAAGTCGGAGCCGACTCAGTAAGTCCTACTACTTACCGGCTCACGTCTGACCGCTATTCTCAAGCATCAGGCCCCTGGTATTCGGCTGCTCCTGTTCTTCATGTCTCATGGTGACAATGAAGAGCTTCAACGAAGCCACCGAGCACAACCAAATATCCTGCAATGTATCATTTGTGTTGTTGAAACCATCGCGCAACAATCGTCCACCGTTATAGTCGACTACAGTAAATTATGCAATGTAAAGGTTTCGGTAGTACATACATGCACTTTAGTCAGAAGTCCGTCTCAGCTTGTTGTATGAAGTACGGAGTACAGTACAGGGGAATAGGCAAGTCAAATTGCCTTGCCTCAGGGTCCAAGAAAGTAGGCAGCCGATGCCTGAGTTGCGTGATTGTTAACCTTTGGTGATCACCGCACCTTGTGTGTAAATAATGGAATTGATCAACTGGACAACTTAGGAAGAGTATTTCCTGCCAACTCACTGACTAACAAACAGACGTCAATCAAAGGCCTTAACAATGTTGGTTCCATCAAATCTCGTTACATATTGCAGTCGTTTGATTGTGATTATCTCCCGGAGGAAATCTTAAGGACCCGTTAAGGTTCAACATTTGTGTATCAAATAAATGTGTGTCCACTTTGTAGCCCCCTTTCCCCTTGCTGCACCGCCCAGAGTTGGTGGTGACACTGCCACTGCCACTGCTCCAGCCTCCAGCCCCAGCATTCCTCCCAACTGCTTGTAATGATTACCATAGACGTACTAGCGCACATTCCCTGCTTTTCCCCCCGCGTTCACCCTAGGGCTGGGCTGTTGTCGATGATGACTCAATCAAAATTCCCGCCCGCCCGCTCCATCCGTGATTACTCAGTCCTGAGTCTTGAGTATTCAACACTTCCCGGTCACGATACCGATACATACAACTGTCTCAAAACATTCTTGCGCCCGATACATAACTTGCGAATTTAGGGACTGGAACACCCCACAATGATGTCCAGTAGGGATGAAGCGGCACCGGCCGTCATCTTATTAGGCGCTTTTCGATATTTCCCCTTATCCTCATTCCCCTCCTTTCCTACCTCTCCTATGAGGCTATGACTCCTAAAGGTAGAACGAGAGGGCCGGACGACCTTGCAGTGACTAGGGCATGGATCGGAAACTGAAAGAAAACGGAATTCATCGATTTTAATTACTACATGTGTGTGTCAGGTGACAAATATCCGATAGTCGGAGACGCAGCTTATTTTGCCGACTAGGAAGCAATAGTCCGTGGATGAAAGAGGTGAGCTTCGCACATTCACCGCATGCAGCATCAGCCCGAAAGACTCATAATTTCACCAGTCGACAAGACAAGGATGACCTTGAGTCCTGTACGTAGTAGTACTCCGTAGTAGGTTCAAGGTTCGCCGTTCGCTTGGCGGAACGAGGGGGAGAAAGCAGGCAGGCTCCACACAAATCAATTCCCCCAGAAGGACCGCTGTGTCGGTGCCCTAGGAAAAGGGAAAAAAAAAAAAAAACAGCCAACAAATTGTAGCATCATATTTCGTGATAGCTTTGTACATGTAATAGTGCATGTGGATCGACGGTAAGGCATGCTTCCGTCTCCTCATAATCCATAGTATCAGTCACTCCTGGTAGTATAGACCTCGTAGGCTCTCGTAGTGCAGCGCAGGTGGGGACTAACTCCGTACTCCGTCGCGTATCGATTTTCCTAGTGGAGATTCCTTGTCTCTCTTCTTTCTGAACCCAAAGACGATGATAGCTTGTGTCCACCTGGGAGCTCCATAGCAACTGATAATTCCGGCTATCAGCTTCCCCTTTTTTTTCTTTCCAGAAAACAGCGAACGTTGGGGTTGAAGAATGTGAAACCAATTCTTTCCTGTCAGCATCGGCAATGCGCAGGACTGATAGTGATACCCATCGAGGAATGATCGCCCAATACTGTACTTCAGGGCTGTTCGCTGGACTGGCTGATCTTCTTCGCTGGGGAAAATAGTTCGATGGAAATCCGAAAGGGAAAATCAAAATCAACCAGATATAGAACCAGGTAATGGAATTTCTTTCCTGGCTGACAGACTATAGGCTCTGAGGTATCAAGTACAGCTCACAACCAAAGTGAAGCAAAAAGAAACATTGGTTGGCTTTTCTCCGCATCATCAGAGTTCCATCGTGACAGGGAAAAGACAAAAGGGCCTGATAGGGCAGGCGAGGGGGCGTAAATGGAAAGGAGATAAGTGAAAGGGGGTACACAGATGGCCTCAGATGATCTCATGATCATGCTTGCTTGGTCTGAATATTGTTCCTTGGGCTGCTGTCATTATGTATCATGATGAACAGCTCACTCAACCCCCTCAACCCCTCAGACCCCCAATCTTAGTTAGCAAAATCCAAAACAAAAAAAAAAAGGTGCCCAGCAATATTCATCGGCCCATTTCAATTAGACTATCAGCATACCTGAATTCGAGTGTCTACCCCTTCCCTATTTTACCTTGTAGTATTTAGGGCATACAAACCTCCCTTTTCCCATCGCCTGGCTTGTTATTCCATTCGAAAGAAAAAGGCACTTGAACTTGACTTGCTTGTTTCAATATAAGTTTGGGAAGAGCCGAAAAAAGCAAAGGTCTGGCCAAAAGACATCCCATCTTTACCGCTCAGACAAAAAACGCCTCTGTTATCATCACTCCTGTCCAGGACCGTCCATCCATCATCATTATCCTGATCTTATATCATCATTACCTGTCAGTTTCACTGCGTATCTCAAGGCCAAAGCGGTGTATTTTTCAGACCTTGCTGATTGAGCTGACTGGGGTTAGTTTCCTTTCGTTCTTTTTCGCAGATTGAACGAACTAGGCTAAGACAAGTACTTGGGAAAAGAGTGACTCGCTCGCTTTCTCCTCCACTTTCTTCCTTGTTTTTCTGGAAATAATTTTTTTTTCCCAATCGTGGATTACGCCAGGGTGGAAACCAATCTTAATTGTTCACTGGTGGACAAGGCTCATACGTGTATCAGAACGTGTGACAGTACAAGAATTACCACACACAGTACGTCAGAAAGTACCCACTCCAGCTTTCTTTCAATTGAAACATCCAGCGGGTTCTTCGAATTCGACCTTCCAAAATCCTTCCCCCCGAAAGTTCTCCCTTGTCTGTACGACGCCGCAGCAATTCGCGTGGATGGGAGATTCTTAAGAGGGCGAAAGTTGATTCCCACTTAACTATCTTATTCTACCTTTCCCTTTCCCCCCCCCCCCCACCACCACCACCACCATCACCACCATCACCATCACTATCACTAACCATCACCAACCACTCCCCTCCCATTCCCAAATCCCTCCTCCTACAACCTTTCCCGTCCTCTTCCCCCGACTTGCGCAAGTGCAGTGGAAATTTCCCTAAACGAAGGAAACAACGCTGGCACGGTTTCCTCCGTCGCATGATCATCAACTCTTACTCACCATCCTGGCGCTCTTTCGCTGCAGGTCCTCTGCTACACTCCACGTAACCGTGCAGGAAATTGGAAAAAAGCTACACATCGGTCCGCACTAGACAACCGCAGCCTTCACGACTTCCCTTGTCGGTCCAATCTCCGATTGCTCACATTTATCGCCCTTCCCCTTTCGACCACCTGCATCACTGCGCTGGCAGGCAATCCTGCATTTGCAGTTCCGATCCTCGTCGCCGATACCCTTACCCTCTCGCCGTCTGCCCTTAGTTGCTCCCCAGTAACGCCCAGCCGACGCAAAGCTCAATCCCTTCCATTACCGGCGCCTGTACAAGCTACCTGTGGAGGGGCTCTGCTGACAGCTAAGCACATGCGCAGCGCATACGGCTTTGACTTGCATAATACTCGTTTCCCTTCTAAGCGGTCATCGGCCCTCTCCCTGTTACCAACAGGAAACAGCCTTGCTCGCCATCCCCGATCCCGCCCAATTGGCCCAGCTCCGCACGTCCTCCCATTCCTGCTGCAGAGTACAGCTTTCCCCGCGCATCAGGAGATCGGCAAATTCGAAGAGGGGCTTGAATCAGGATTCAGACACAGACAGAAAGCGGAGATTATAAACAGGGCGAAATAAAACGAGAAGGCACCCAGGGAACAGGATATTTCCTGGTTTCAAAAAGGAAAAAAAAAACAGCGCAGGAGAAAGATTATTAGCCGGTGTCAAGTCATCAGACGTTCTGGGTCAATTGAATTGGAACGCAGAGACTCTAGGCCTACCCACCCCCGCCGAGCCGATTGTTACACAGAGTCGGTGTCTGTTTCAGTTGTTATCAGGAACCCGTACCCTAAACTATCGCGAGCGCTCTCTGGCAGGGCTCTCCGCATTGCATCAGAGGCAGGCCAAGATGCAGATATCAAAACCGCAATCCCGCTAAGGAAGTGGCTTTTGCATCACTCAGCCAGACACGATCCCCATTCCGGCTCGTATTGCATTACAGTGACAGGCTACCATTCCAGGGTCACCACAGCCGCCTAATCGTTGTGTGTGTCGTTGTTCATTCGTCCTCCTAGGGTCCAGGTGACTCAGGCATTGGCACGGTTCACGGCAGGTCTACAATCTCACATTTTGCAGCTGGGTACTACGTCTGCTAGGGTTTCCGCAATGGCTTACGCTGCTACTTCATCGCCTTCCACCCTCAATGGCGACACTCAAGCAAGTTTAAAACTCACTGGCTCACCCTCTCAACCCCCCAAACTACATAATGTCATTACCTCAATCCCGCCTGCCTCCAATCCCTCATCGGCAAGCTTCTACTCCTCTTACTCAGCCACCCCAAACTCTACTCACTCAACCTACAACTACTCAAATGCTTCAAGCCCATCAGGCACACCCTTACATATCCCCTCTGACTCTCTTCGAGGGCGACTGTCCACTGCCCCTCTTGTACCGCCTGGCACTTTCGAGCTTGGAGAGTCCGAGATGGCTGTTCCTGGCTACGCCATCACCTCTGGCTCGGCAGATATCATCACTCAGAACACGAACAAAGGTCCCGGTTTGATGCGTAGAATCTCACGTGGAGCAGCGAGCAAGCTCACGAGAAGACGTACTTCCACCACCCACAATGACAAGCGAGATCGGAGCTCCGGACCGGTTATCATGCGCAGACGAAGCGATAGCAAGACTGCTCAGAACAGCTGGGAGAACGCCCTGGAATCTAGCAACGAGGAAGACAGCAATGATGCCTTGGAAATGAACGGTGCATGTGGTCCAGAAGCATCCAGCCTACCAAATGATAGCTCATTGACGGCTTCCCGCAATAGTGGTGTGGTTGCGCCCAAGGTTGACGGGGCAATCCAACGTGGCACGATATTGACCAAAGTCACGAAAAAGCGCCGCAAACAAGTGCGTTTCTTCCTGGATCTCGATGCTGGCAAAGTCTACTGGGATCCCTCCAATCCAGCAAAACGGTTCTACATCGACGATGTGAAGGAGATCCGTGTCGGGGCCGATGCGCGGAATTACCGCGAGGAGCACCAGGTCCCAGAAGAACTCGAAAGTCGATGGTTCACAATTGTTATTGCTGATGCGGAACGCTTTAAAGGCCGTACGGTCAAAACAATGCACCTCATCGCTCCGAATGACCACATTCTCGAGCTCTGGACTTCAACCCTCGAACATATTTCCCGTTACAGAATAGGTCTCATGGCTGGTCTGGCAGGATCCGGACAGAGCGAGGCGGTCTTGAAGGCTCACTGGCAGCGTGAGATGCAATTATTATACCCCCAGGGTCTCAAGCCAGGCGATCAGGAGAGCCTTGATTTCGAAGCCGTGGAGGGTGTCTGCCGCAGCCTGCACATCAATTGCTCGAAGAACATGCTGCGCGCCCAATTTTCCAAGGCTGACATCAACAACAAGGGCAAGTTGTACTTTTCCGAGTTTAGTGACTTCGTTGCTAGATTGAAGGAGCGGAAAGACGTGAAAATGATCTTCAAGGACAATGCTTTCAACTCTGACGGCCTCACTCTCGACGAATTCCTATCGTTCCTTCGTGATGTTCAGAATGAGGACGTTGACTCGGATCAAGCCCATTGGACATCTATCTTTGACAAGTTTGTCCGCAAGTCAAAGCCGCGCACGCCGAGCATTCCGGAACACGGTGACAACCAGGTCTCCCGAATGAGTGTTGATGCTTTCTCTTCTTTCTTGGCCTCCTCGGCAAATGGGATTTATGCCTCCCGAGCTCCCCAATCTCGATTCGACCGACCATTGAATGAATACTTCATTTCAAGCTCACACAACACTTACCTCCTGGGACGTCAGGTGGCTGGGGCTTCCAGCACTGAAGCTTACATCAGCGCATTGTCGCAAGGCTGTCGTTGTGTAGAAATAGACTGCTGGGATGGCGCGGATGGTCGGCCCATTGTCTCTCACGGAAGAACCATGACCACCAGCGTGCTATTTGCGGATTGCATCACCGTCATCAATCGGTACGCGTTCATCAGCAGTGACTATCCCCTTATTCTTTCTCTTGAGGTCCATTGTTGTCCCGAGCAACAGTTGGTCATGGTGAGAATCATGAGGGAGACCTTCAAAGATCAACTTGTCCTAGAGCCGCTCCTCAATAACACATTCGTTCTGCCCTCGCCTGAAGATCTCAAGGGTCGCATCCTGGTCAAAGTCAAGGTATGCGACGAGCCTCAAGCGGACATGCGTCAAGAAACGTCAACCTCGATTATGAGCTCCGGTCGTAAACGCAGTTCAAGCTCTCCGTTCATTCGACCGATGGTGCCCGAGCATCAGATGACCTTCAATCTCCCTCCGCTAACCAGCTCGACCACCGTTGGCCCGGACAGCGCCGATACATTTCTGACACACGATCGACGCTCTTTTACGACCACCAGCATCAGCAGTGCTACAGAGGACAGTGACACCAACATGTTCTCAACCAGTCAAAAGGAGCGAAGACGAAGCCAGAAGAGCAAGATAACAAAGCCTTTGTCGGACCTAGGAGTCTACACCCGCGGCTATAAGTGGCATAGCTTTTTCTCTCCGGAAAGTCAGCAATACAACCACGTGTATTCCTTTGCCGAGCGCTCTTTCGAGAGCATCTGCCGCGACATGGACAATAAGGCTCTGTTTGAGAGGCATAATAGGAAATATCTCACCAGAGTCTATCCCTCGGGGTTCCGCTTACGATCGTCCAACTTTGATCCACTCAAGTTCTGGCGGCGCGGTGTGCAGATGGCGGCCCTGAATTGGCAGACTTACGACGTCGGCATGCAAATGAACCATGCAATGTTCGCAGCCGGAACGGATCGTACAGGCTATGTTCTCAAGCCCGAGTCCCTCCGAACTGTGCGTCTTGGTGAAGAGGCAGCAAAGGGCAAGGAGAGGAAACTCGTCAGATTCTCGGTCGATGTTATCTCTGCGCAGCAACTGCCCCGCCCCCGCAGCCTTGGACCAGAGGATTACATCAATCCTTATGTCGAAATCGAGATGTTCAGTGCGGATGATCGTGGTCAAAGTTTTGTACTTGGCGAGGGAGGCATGGATGCCTCGGCTCGCAATGGTATGTCAGGGATCGGGTATCCTCACCGTCGGCGTACCAAAATTGAACAGAGCAATGGCTACAGTCCCATCTTCAATGATCGGTTCAAGCTCTCGCTAGAAACCAAATACCCCGACCTGGTCTTTGTACGTTGGACGGTCTGGAGCTCGTTGGATGGTCGCAGTGCAGGAAACAATAACAGTGTGCAGCTGGCCACATTCACAGCTAAACTCAGCAGCCTTTCGCAAGGATACCGCTACCTGCCCCTCTGTGACACCGGTGGTGACCAGTACCTGCTTTCCACGCTGTTCTGCAAGATCACCAAGGAAGACCCTGTCTCAGTTCAGCGTCTTGATGCGGAAGAGCTCCGCGCTGAGCGAATGGGAATTTTCCGTCAAATCGGCCAGTCTGTCTTCAAACGAGCCTCATCCACCGAAAGGGACCGGGACACTGGCTCCGACAAAGGCAGTGAAGCTCCAATGACTCCCGACGATAATACTTCTCCCACATCCCCCGCGCTGACCCCGACGGTTTCGGCCGCTTCCACTTCGTCTTTACCTCCGTGAATCGCTTGACATCAGATGTCACTGTGCATCGTCATGCTCAACTGACCCACGCCTTCACTCCTGCTGTTTTCTCTTAGCCCGCTTACCTTGTCATCATGATCTTGTCCATCTCGTTCCAGGTGCAAGTATAGGAATGGCGTTATCCCAGCCTGACTGCATTTGATCTGTGTTATTATTTAGTTTGCATTTGTGTTTTTGGAGCCTTGGGTGCATTTCAGCTGCCGAGGAAGCCACAGGTGGGCTGGATGGAAAGCATCATCTCGCAACTGGTTGTTTTGTTCTATGAGGCAGTGAAAGATGCATGGCCACTGTTTAGCGTCCGGATGGCCGAACGGTGTTTCTGTGTCTTGTGTTTTGATTTGTTTCTATACTATTCTGCCGGAGTACCCTGATTTATGTGGCGATACCCTTTGCTTTGAGTCTTTCTTATTCTTTCTTCTTTTTTGCTGACCGCATTCCGGTGCCAAATTTATCCATATCTTATCTGTTTATTTTGCGTGGCTTCTTCCTGGGTTTTGCATTCGTTACACCACGGTTCGGTCCTTAGGCCTACGACCTCAACTCCAGGTGGTGTATCAATCATGACAATCATCATCATTTGCATTTTGGGTTGCGTGGGCATCGACGGTCGAGGACTCACACGCAGGAAGTTGAGCATTGTCAATGAGGCCGAGGTCTTCTTGTGGCGACATTGCATCTTCATGATCTCAACATTCTCCCGTTTGTCACTTGTTTTCCGGGAGGAATTGATAAAGTCCTCGTCCTCGGTATGGGAGAGAATCATGACTTGATTTACTTGTCTTTCAATCTCCTGTTTTAACACGAATCATGCGGCTGGGTCGCTATTTTTCCAAGCTCAATTCGATGACAAATTGAATAACAATCATGATCTTTGGATGTATGAGGGATAGTCACCTTTTGTAGAACAGAACATATTCGAGTACCTCAGACATTCACACAGTGGCCGAACTCCGGCGCCTGGCTCGGATGACTTGCCCAGTTCTCGGTCCACCTGCCGTCCGCCGGACCCCCGTAAAGGCAACGTGACGACTTTCCCGACCGCCCTCCGCATCCAAGCCATTTACTAGATTGCTACTATCTCCGAACTGACCTGGCCCTCGATTCGACATTCGAATACTTCCTGAAATTCTCGCTACAATGGATCCATTCTCAGCAGAAGGCGGTATGTTTCTTGACCCTAATGACATTCAATGCCCCCTTTACCCCCTCCCTCAAGCTCTTCATCCATTCCCAGCAACCGCAACCGCAACCCGTTCTCTCGAATTGTACCAGCCTAGGTTACAATAACTAACCAACCCCCTATACTCCTCCTCCGCAGAATTGATCAACATCCACAATGCCTTTCACCAAGGCCAATACCCCGCCGTGATCGACTTCGACCCCGCGGCCCTCTCCCCGGAGAACCAGCTCCCCGCCCGCATCCTCCAGCTCCGCGCCCAGATCGCGCTGGGCCAGTCCGCCGCCGTGCTGGCCGAGCTCGCCGGCGAGGACGACAGCAACCCGGACCTGGCTGCGGTGAAGGCCCTGGCGCAGCAGTCGGCCGGCGACCTCGAATCGGCGCACACCCTCGCCCAGGACCTCGCCGAGAACTTTCCCGACAACGGCACCGTGCAGGTCCTGGCCGGCACGGTGCTGCAGGCCCAGGGTCACAGCGAGGAGGCGCTGGCGCTGTTGGCTAAGCATCAGGGGAGTTTGGAGGCGTAAGTCGCACCCCCATACTTTGTTTGGATCAGAGGGTGAAAAGAAAGGGGGCAATGGAGTGGATTGTTGTGTGCTTTTGCATTGAATTCCACAAGAAGGGAGATGCATTCGCAGGAAAAATGGGAGCTGATTCGAGCGCCTACAGCGTCGCCTTAATCGTGCAGATCCACCTCCACCAGAACCGATCCGATCTCGCCCTGAAAGAAGTGCAGGCCGCCAAGCGCTGGGCGCAGGATTCGCTGCTGGTCAACCTGGCGGAATCGTGGGTGGGGTTGAGAGTCGTATGTCCTTTGCCTTTGCCCCTTCGTGCCCCCCCCTCCCCCCCCCCTCCCTCCCGTGCCCTGTCCGACACGTCCTCAGAGCGAGCGTTCTCCCAACCGACCGCTCATGGGGGAACCTGCTTGCGCGATCGACCGCTACAGTCACTGACCAAAAGGACATGTCCAGGGCGGCGAGAAATACCAAGCGGCCTTCTACGTCTACGAGGAACTGGCCTCCGCGCCCGGCACCGCCGCCCCGCTGTCGATCGTCGGCCAGGCCGTCGCCGAGCTGCACCTGGGGAGACTGCCCGAGGCGGAGGCGGCGCTGTCCACAGCGCTGGAGAAATACCCCGACGAGGCGGAGGTGATCGCCAATGCGATTGTGTTGAATGTCCTCGCCGGCAAATCGGCGGAGGAGTTGGAAGGGTATGTTTCCCGTGAACTCTGGTGTTGGGCGGATGCTAATTCTGATGTGTGTTTGTGTGTGTTGCAGACGTCTCCAGCAGACTCATCCATCGCATCCTCTGTTGAGCGATATCCAGGAGAAGAGTGATCTCTTTGACTCTGCGGCGGCTAAGTACGCCCCTAGGGTGTTGGCCTAAGTTGGCTAGGCGCTGCTGTGTTTTGACTTTGCATTTGTCTCCTTTAAGTTTACATTTAGTACTACCACCCTCTAGCGCAAAGTTGCTCTTTTCATGATGAATCGATACGATGGCATAGCTTTCGTATTACCAGTATTTATTAAGCCATGTCTTCATACTTATACTCCTGACGTCTTTTCCCGAGTGTGGGAGATCCAAACAGATTCACAAAGGCTGGACATGTCCCGGCACGGGTGAAAATGACCTCTCTCTCTCTTGTGATGCACAGCAAACAAAGTGACAGGTTGGACCAGACTTATATACATCCGAAGATAATTCAGATTGAAAATAGACCCGAAATTAAATATTTATGTAGGACTGATGGACATGACGCAAATGAGGCAAACTGACCTTGCATACAGCCTAATTGCCATTCGCCATGTCTTCCTTGCCAGTCAGATCGCAGAACGCCTTATATGTGACGAACGGATTCTCCTCTCCGCTGTCGGTGCTCTCGACAATGCACTCGGCATTGGCGCCTACGAAGAACACATAGCCCTCCTTGACTTCCTCCGACTTGTGGCCAACGGTGATCTTTCCCGCTCCGCCCGTGCAGATCAGAATGCTAGGGCCGACCAGGCCGTCGAAAGTCGCCTTGGCACCGGGTCTCCGGAGTTCCGTCTTGACGACGCTGAATTCCTCAATGGGCGGGTCGTAGAGCAGACAGGATGAGCCGCTCGAGTACGCCGGCGCGTTGAGCACGACGTACGGATAGTCGGTCGGCTGCAGCTTCTGCTCCTCGATGGGCGCATATGAGTACGTCAACATCTCCGTGAGCGTGTCCACGTCCTTGAATTTGGGGGTGAACCCGGCCCGCACGACGTTGTCGGATGACGCCATGCATTCGATGATGTCGCCCGAAACGTAGGCGTGGATGTCGTCGGCCTTCAGGAACATAGCCTCACCGGGGGCGAGTTTCACGAAGTTGAGGAAGAAGAATACAAAGAGACCGATATCATCGGGGAACTGGCCATTAAGGCGAGTGATGATGGCAGCCAATTCGGCCGAATTGCTAGAATTCGACTCGGGAGAGGTGGACGAGGTAGCAAACGTGTCTGGCTGTTGAGTGGCTTCGACTAGTTCCTTCGTAGCTGCCGCGATGTCCTCGGGGGACGACTTCATAAGTGTGGTGAAGAGCGTGCGCAGAGCGTCCTTGTTCTTGGAGGTTACCTCGGGGTCTTCCGAACTCTCGGAACCCCGAACGGTGCGCTCGAAGTCACTGGCAGCCTGCTCTCCAACCAGATTCCGGAGAGGTTTAACGGCCTTCAAAAAGTGTGTGATCTGATCGAGGGGACGGAAGCTGCACAGGCCTTCGAAGGGAGTGATCGCGATGGCCATTTCAGGCTTGTGGTTGTCATCTGCGAAACGACAATTTGAAGTCAGCTGCAGCACTATCACTATGGGTCCGACAAGGATCATGAGCTAGTTACCAGGATAGTTGCGAGGGTCTTTCGCGTGGAGCTTTTCTGCAAGCTTCTTGTTGGGGTGCGCTTGGATGCTAAGAGCTTTCTGGACAGAAAGCACCTTGAACAGGAACGGCAACTTCCCGCCATATCGCTCGCTGACCTCGGCAGACATCAGAGCCTGGTTATCCTGGACCATATCGAGCAAGGTCCGCTTGGTCTCGAAATCTTTGGAGGGCAGGGAAGGGTGCGTGCCCATCCATAGCTATACGTCATCGGGTCAGTCGACCGCTTGCGGAGGCTCAACCACCAGGCGTACCAACCTCTGCATAAGGCTTCTCTGCCTCTATCGAGAAGTCCGAGTCAGACGAGGTAGCTGCATACTTGGCAGCCGCAGAATCGTGGCCAATTTTGCCTGGGATGAGCGTTCAGCGAAAGGCAGACGGGTAAAAACTCGGGGTGCGGGGAGCTCCTACCCCAGTCATAACTATTAACACCTGCAGCGATCGAGTAGACTGTCAGTCCAGGACTATATTTTGGATAGAGATAGAAGAAGTAGCACTTACCACATTGAAGCCGGAGCAATGGGACCTGCATTTTGGCGGAGGTGGAGGGGATAAGAATGGGTGTTGTCGATAACAGAATAGAACCCAGGCTCTTTGATAGTGGGGGAGGGGGAACTCAAGAAGGGACAAGGCAGCAAAGAGCGGGAGGAGGGGTGGATAAGATATTCACTAATGTGTTATTCTTCCTAGGGAAGCTAGAGTGAATGAAGGTGAGGGGAAAAGGAGGAAGAAAGAAGGAAAGAAAAGCAGAAGTCTCTCAAAGATGAGATGTTACCCATCCCACCTCACATTGACACCACTGTTCTCGGCCTCACCTCCATCCTTCCATCATCCCTCCATCCACTGCATCCATTGAAATCTGCCCCTCCAGATTCGTCCGATTGTCTTGCTGGTTCCCCAATTCGGTGATTCCACATGCGTCCGTCCCGGTACAACTTCCAGGCTTAGCGTCCTTACGTAAGTCATGATCGGACCGGTTTTGTTTACTTTTACTGAGTTCAGGTTAGTTACCTTACGTGAGCCAGACCGTGATGGTCTCTGCCAATCAGGGCATGCCATGGAGTACCAAGCGTTTGCCGACCAGTCGCAGCCGAAAGAAGACGACGACGAGGACGCGCCAAGATCATGACGCCGCCGTCGGAGAGAATGTCCGCGAGGAGGCCGTGGAAGCATCACAAGCATCGCCGCCAGCAGCTTCGGCTTCAGCCTCTCAGCTCCACCACCTACCATCTCCTCAGCCTCAGACTGCTGTCGGGAGTCAGAGGTGTTCAACTCCAGGGCCGCCTGCTGCTTCCTTGAACTCTTCCTCTCCCAGGACCGGTCTTTTTGAAGGTCGACCCCACGAGCAGAGACAGGGCGCAGCGCGTGGAACACGCAGCTCGGCTCGCAAGGACCTGGTCTCCGCTTTCCCTTGGGAGGCCCTCGACATAGACAAGCTCAAGTCTACAACGACCACGACCACTCTTATTGCGCAGGAACTAGCAAGCCCAGCCCTAAACACCACCACCCCAAGTAGGAGCTCCCCACCTCAAAGCAGTAAAGGTCAGCAGCAGCAGACCGAAGATAAAGCTGCGGACCTGAGTCCCTCTCTCCGCATTATGTCCCGAAATCGGCCCCGAGGCCCTCCAGTCCCCAGGGACAATGGCCTCGCAGCCAATGAGGAAACTGACATGTGGAACAAGATTCTACAGGATCTGCGCAAGGCTAAAGAGAAGAACGACAAGCAAAAGGTCCTGGCAGAGCAAATAGCCACGCTGAATGAGAAGATCGGCCGAGAGGGCGGGAGTAAGTCAGATTCATTTCCATCTCCATGGGCATTTGCCTTGTGCTTTTTCCTCCTACAATTAGGCTATACGCCTAGAAATTGGGTTGTGCTATTGCTTCGCTTTTTGTGCAAGCCATGATTGCATCTAGACCTCTGTTTGCCCTTTTCTCGGAGGCGGAGGCCGTTAGTCTTGCAGGCGCTAACGGATCTCAACAGAGCCAACTTTGAGCGAGCATAACCAACTGGACAGCCTTTACAGGCAGATGGCGAAGTTGTGCGAGGAGGAACGAGCTATCCTCCAAGACGAGCCCAGTGATGTGATCAAGAACCTCGGTCTTTTGACAGCGCTTCGGCAGGCATCAGAAGCCGAGGCGCCGCAGAACCGGGCTGCATCGCTCTCCAAGTCACGGAAGAAGCGAAATGAGATGGACGGCTCGGCTACCGACTCGCCGGGTCCGTCCAATAACTCCTTGTCGGACAAAGTCAGCCGCGTGAAGGGTGGCATTCAGCGTAGTACCAGTGCTTCCAGCTCGCAGGCCCGCGAGGGCCGGGACCCCATCGTACAAATCAAGGTAGAAGAAGGCTCCGAGGGCACGAAGGGCACGCTAGCCGAACGAAGCGGGCATCTAGTGGTTGGCGCGGAAGTCGTCTTCAAGCACAACAAGAACAAGCAAGGCGTCGAAGGCGAGGGCATTCAATGCATTATCAAAGGGATCTCCGGGGATGGGCCCAAGAAACGGTACGCACCAACCCTCTGTCCTGTCCCACAGAACGATTGACCGATGTGCCTTCGAAAGGTATGATGTACAGGACCCGGAACCAAACGAAAACGGTGAACAGGGCGCGGTATACAGAACCGCCGCAGCGTCGCTGATCCCAATACCTCGCATCGGGTCTACATTGCCCTCGTTTTCTCTTGGGAAACAAGTTCTGGCAAGATATCCAGACACTACCACTTTCTATCGTGCCGAGGTTATGGGTACTAAGAAGGATGTCTATCGCCTCAAGTTTGAGGGTGAGGAAGATGATAAGGAGATGGAGGTTGACCGCCGCTTCGTTCTGGACATTCCCGGAAAGTAATGCACCCGTCTCTGTGCCTCTCCTATCAGGCCTTTGCTCTCGCTCAAGCCTCGATATAATGCCAAGCCAGATGGATGGTTCTGAAGGGAAGTAGGAAAAGAAAGGGGATAAGTCCGGAATCGCCTCAGGTTTATGGCGCGGGAAACATTCTACGATACTGCAATCAGAGGAAGGGTGAAATCGGCTGCCAGTTTGATCGATCACTTGATACCCATTTTTTAGCTAGGTTTTTTTATGATTTGGTGGAGTTCTATGACTTTGCACGGAGTTGGACTTGCTTTTCATCTGCCAATTTTCAACCTGCTTCTTTTCCTTCTCTTTGTTACTTAGAATAGGTGGTTCTATACCGGACAAATGATATTGTGAACGAAAGACAAATGAACGAAGCGCAATCCATAGAATCTACTACTAGGTACGGAGTACTTGGACAGGATCAAATAAGCTTAGCCCCGGTGCCTAGTCAGCATTAACTTACATGTACTACATCAATGGGAAGCCTGATGTGTCTGCACCCCAGTTCGTCCCAATGAACTAGATAAGGACTAGTCATGGTTTTATTCAGCCCTCAGAATCACGGTGATTCAGATTCACCTACTGAGTAGAAGAGCGATCATGTTGGCGGTGCATGGTGTGGCGTTTACCTGCTACTGCCACAATCTGACTACAGATCGCGTCATGCTGAATAATGGCAGCTGAGTCATCGAGATTCCCCGCCCGTCGCCGAAGCCGCCGCCATTCCGAGGGGCCGAGACTAGAGTAACGCAGCGCCGAGATAGCAGTCCACGATGGACATCTATGATTGTACAGTCACCTCCCCTTTTCTAGCATCCTACCTGGCTATGGTCTTCTTGTCGCAACTACCGTGCTGAATCATATATGCAACTTCATTCAGTTCTAGGATAGAATCGGTTCACCGTCTCCTCTCTTTTCCTTAGAGCTCACACCTTCCTTCTCTCGACCACCTTTACGCTTCGCCATTCCCCGCCATGTCAAATTTACCGTCTCACGCCTCACCAACGTTTGCGGCGCAACCCGCTTCTTCCAATACCATTGAACAGCTCTCGCTGGGGTCGGATCAGATTGCCCTCAATAGTCGGATAGATGAGCTCCGTGGCGATGCGGTCAGTGTGACCGACAGTGACCGAGGAGATGTGACCCCCGCCGTGCCAGCCTCTCTTCTTTCCCCGTCCTTTACCCCGCCAGCAACCCCAGGTGGAACATTTAATCCGGCACAATTGCTCCAACAAGCACAGCAACCTACCAGTTCAAAGCCGCCGAAACTCCTCTCGCGCCTCCCCGATGTCGAGTGCATTGTCCGTGCCCGCATCCCGACGACCACGGGCGCGGAGATGTTTCTCCACCTCTACCACAATGACCTGGATAACAAAGAACATTTGGCAATTGTCTTTGGCAACACAATCCGCAGCCGGAGCTTGGACAAGGTGCGACCTGGAGAGACCGAAATGGATCGCATGATTCGTGGTGCTTATGTTGGCAAACTTCACCCTGGTCGGGTTAGCAGTTGGTATGAGGAAGGGAACGCCGAGGGAGCGAAAGGCACGCAAAATGCGGATGAGAGTACCCCGAGTCAAGCGCCACTCGTGCGAATCCATTCGGAATGCTATACTGGGGAGACCGCCTGGTCTGCACGCTGCGACTGCGGTGAACAGCTTGACGAGGCAGCGAGATTGATGTCATTCCCCATGGAGACTTTGTCAGAACTCGCGTCGCAGCAGTCAGTGCCCGTCGCTTCGAACGCTTCTGGTGGTGTGATCGTCTACCTCCGGCAAGAAGGACGAGGGATTGGTCTCGGAGAAAAGCTCAAAGCGTACAACTTGCAGGATCTCGGATCAGATACCGTCGAAGCCAATCTGCTGTTGCGACACCCTGCCGATGCTCGAAGCTACGGATTGGCTACGGCCATCCTTGTCGATCTTGGCCTGGGAGAAGATGCCAATCCCCACGGTATCCGACTCCTCACGAACAATCCTGATAAGGTGCGTGCAGTTGAGGGTCCCAACCGCGAGGTCGTTGTTAAGGAGCGCGTGCCGATGATCCCCTTGGCATGGAGATCGGGCGGGAAGGCCGGCATTACGAGTACAGAGGTAGAGGGATATCTTAGGACAAAGGTACGTTCTTTTTCTCCCCCCTTTCCGCCTCACCCATACTGTGGGGCTTTTCATTTGTGCATCTTAGCTGTCGAAAAGTATCTTGAAGCTAATCCATCGGATGACAGATTTCAAAAATGGGACACATGATTCAGTAGACTAAAAAAGCTCCCTTTCCTTGTCGCATGCATGTTCACCTTTCACACTTTCTGCTTACACCTTTTTTTTTCACACCTGGGCTCTATATACTCATGAGGACCTCGAGGAGAGGTCTTATGTAATGTACGGTGTTTATGGGACAGCGACGTCTATCTTACCTTGCTTGCTTTGTCCTTACTTTCCTCATCTGTGCGTACCACATTTCCAACGTCTCCTCCGGGGGTGCGCGGGGTGTATTACTACCTGTCTTAGTTTCGTGCACATTGTACGTTTCGGTGGATCATCGCTACAACAACTTCGGAGAAACAGAAAGGGATCTGCGAAGTTTGCTTCCCGTTTGGCCTGGGCGTTAATCCTTCTGTCAGATTGAAGACCAATGAGAATGGTTCGCTTGAGACAGAGACTGATGGAGACTGATGGGAGGAACAATGGCCGAACAATGGCCAGACTGCCGTCGATGATGTGCACATTGACTGCTCAACCCTGGGCCGGGAGGGATGCTTTGTTTGCGCAGCTAGAACATGCCGGACGCCACGCTATCGAACCTTGTCCCCATGGAACCATAGTTCTTCATTCTGCACCGCCATCTTGTCAAAAGGCCAAAAGCTGAAGAGACGAATGGCAAATGACAAGAGGAAGGCAAAACGTGGTGCGCATTGGTGCTAATGATTGACTTTTGGGGGGGGTGAATACCCACTGCTTCCACTGCTGGAGCCAACCAGACCGAATTGATTCCTTTCCTGCGCCTTCGGGACCCTCCGTCCGCTTTCCCTTCCTTCCTTCCCCCCCCCATCATTCATTAATATTTCCACCTTCCCCGACCACCTCGAGCATGCACTCATGCATGTCTCATTAGCTTTCGATTACACCCATCCCCACCAGTCAGTCTTTTTCAAATGTCACATATCTTCATCACTGGGTGAAACAATAATTGTTGTCCAACTCTCTACAACTCGTCTAATCTCACGTCCTGAACTGTGTTGAATGGCTGGGTAGCTCACGTAGCCCCCCAGCCCGCGAGTGTTCGGCCATGGCCACCCGCCTACCGCCTCTCAATGAATTGGCTCGATCGCCAGCCCTCGAGGAAACATCCCCATCATCTACATCCTCGCTGGTGCCCGGTCACCCAGTCACTTCTATTGCTGCAATTTCCGATTCGAACTCGGTGGTGAAAGTCGAGGACTCCCCCACCCCGTCTGCATTGGCATCCGCTGATGCAGATACGCCCGCGCCTGATGCTGGAGGCGCGGCCACGGCGGTTGCGGGCCGGAAACGCAAGCTGAACAGCAATTCCGCCCGGGGTGTCGCCAATCTTACCCCGGAACAACTAGCTAAGAAGCGAGCCAATGATCGCCAGGCCCAGCGCGCAATTCGCGAGCGCACGAAGGCTCATATCGACTTGCTCGAACAGCAAGTCCGCGATCTTTCATCGCAGAAACCGTACTTGGATCTTCAGGCTGCGCTGAAGCAGAATGAAGCCGTTCAAGTGGAGAACAGAGAACTTAAGCAGGGGTTGAAAGCAGTCCTGGAGATCATACAACCCCTGTTAGGAGACCAGGCAAAGCCCGGTAGGTCACATCTGTTGTCTAGTTTGCTTCGACAAGCATTCCGGCAGATATACTTACCTCAGACATGTTCTAGATCTTTTAGCGTCGGCAGCCGCTTCCACGAGCGCCAAACCCATGCCCTCGATATCCGTGACGTCGTGTTTCTCAGACAATAGCCACTTTCCTTCAAACACCCAATCGTCGGCCTCGACCGATTCCTCGTATACGAAGCCTGCGGGCACGCAGGCCCCTCCCTCCTCCACACCCCTCACATTCTCGCCCACTGCAGGTCGGCGGAATTTAACGGCCGCTGGTCCGGCTTCGTTTCGCATTGCGTTTGATTACCAGCGACATAATTTAGCCCATGGCCTCGACTTCGGCGGCACGGATGAGCGGATGGGATTCAATTTCTTGCTCGATACGTCGCAACAGGTGCCCAAGGTGGATGGATTTCGTCGTTGCTCCGAGGCACCCAGACCAGCCCCTGCGAGCACAGCCTCGACTTATCCAGCACCTCTACCTGCAGGCGCGACGACGGAGCAACCGCTGTCCCTGCCTGCGCACTTGACTCCAATCCGGAACATCGCGCCGACCTGCACACTAGACGCTATCCTCATGGATTTCTTGCATCATCGCCAGCAAGAGGCAGCAAAGGGTGTACCGAAACAGAATCTTGTTGGCCCGTCGTATCCTAGCGTATCGTCCTTGCTTAATCCAGAAAAGAGTGTGTACTCACATCCTTTGTCGAAAGTGTTCACCGACATTCTGCGCACATTCCCGGATATCGCAACATTGCCGGAGCAAGTCTGTGTTCTTCTCTTGATGTTCCTCTTAATGCGATGGCAAATATATCCAACTCCAGAGAATTACGAGCGATTGCCTGAATGGCTGACCCCCCGTCCATCGCAGTTGCTCACTCCGCATCCGGCATGGATTGACTATTTGCCTTGGCCGCGCATGCGAGATCGCTTGGTCATGACGTATCGAGACTATCCGTTCGAGAACTGGTTCATACCCTTCACACGGACTCTGTCGGTCAACTGGCCATATGAAGCAACCGATTGTCTGCTGTCTACTGGTGATGGTGACGATTTGATTATCAATCCTGTCTTTGAAAGACATTTCCGAAACCTTAGCAATTGGTCCCTCGGCCCGGCGTTTGCGGAGGCATACCCTTCGCTGGTAGATACAACCAAGATCAAATAAAAACACTCACCGGCAAAAGTAAAATGCACATAATGGGTAATAGAGTGGGCGTTTTAACCACGGTTCGAAGTTCGGTGGCCTGTGGCCTCGGTCATGCCTAACGTTTGTTTTCTCATCTGAACGCATGTCATGCGCAATTACCCGTCTAAGAAAACCATACTTTCTCAAGGATATTTACTCGGGTTTCCGCCTTTTTTGAATTGGCCAACTAAAGCTGCCAGTGCATCGAGGCATGCCTTAACACGAAAGACACGGTGCTTGACAGAATTTATGATACTGAGTCATAGAAATGCGTTGGAAATTATTTGTATCTCGACTGTTTCCAAATGACAAACCCACAGATATCACGATGCTGGATCCCTCGGAATTCTCTTAGTACACACAGACTGATTGTACGGACACTTTGTACGGTCATGACGAGTTGCCCTGTCTGCTCTTCTCATTCCAGAATGGCAAGCCAGCCTTCTGCCGTAGAACTCCATACATGGAGCTGCTATCTAAGCATTCACCCGCATACTCCCTGGCCGCCTCCATGTTGTCCAAAGCCACTTGCAAGCCCGGGAGCTCAACCTTGCTCTCCTCGGCCATAGCGAAAGCATGTTTGGCATCTTTGATAGCCAAGGACACTCCAAATCCAGGCCGTGAGCCCAGCGGAGGGGCGTACACGCCCGTCGTCAACCTAGCGCATGTTAGAGGGTACATTCAACTGCTGAGAAGTGGGTACAAAAGAGACAGGCCAACCTCTTCGAATATCCCCCCGCGACGGGGCCGAAGGCTTCCCCGATGAGTTCCTCCATCGGCCCAGTGCCCAGGCCCGTGCGTTCAGCGAAGACCTGCGCTTCGCCGACGGCTTCCATCATGTTGACGGTGACGATATTGCTAGTTTCAGGGACGCGTTAGCCCTCCCTTCCTTCTTCGCACAGCCAAGAGCCAAAACAGCCTCCTCGAATGGAAGTCCGAAAACGCCCAAAACACAATGTAGGCGATGGCATGTAGAACGAGCCAAAGGACTCACCCCGCAATCTTCAACAGCGAGGCCCGCGTAGCATCCTCGCCGCAGTCGATGACCTTCCGCCCCATCACGTCCTGGATCCACGGCTTCACCTGCTGGGCGGCCGGCCTCGGCCCACCCAGAGCGAAGACGAGCTTGCCGTCGACCGCGATGGGGTTGCCGCCGAAGACGGGCGCCGCCAGGAACGAGGCCTCTTTCGCCTGGAGCTGGGCCACGGTCCGGCCGACCGTGCTCGGGTGGACGGTCGAACAGTCCACGAAGATCTTGTCGCGCAGCGAGATCTTGGACTCTGTGGCTGTGGTGATGAGATGTTGGAGGACGGCGTCGTTGGAGACCTTTTTTTTTTGGTCGCGGAGTTAGTTGGCGGGGTTTTTGGATCGAATCGTTTTTTGTGTTTTTGGGCAGACAGCCCCCGGTCGCTGGAATGGGGATTCAGTCATGGTTTTGGAGACATACCATGGTGAATATGATTCCACATTGGGCGACGAGCTTGGTGAAACTCGACTCCGGGGTCCCGCCCAGGGCCTTGAGGGGGTCGCCGCGCGCCATTGTCCGGTTCGAATAGAGCAGATTCAGGGCTCGTTTGCTGGCAAGGTGCTTTTGGAGGTTGCTGGCCATGGCCAGGCCCATGGAGCCGAGGCCATACTGTTGCGTTGGTGGGATTTCAGTATGGGTATGTGAAGAAGCTTGGGGGTTTTGGTTTGTGGTATGAGAAGGGAGGGGGGGAGGAGGAGGGGGGAGCATGGCACGGCACGGACCCAACCGATTTGTGGCATTGTGTTTGATTATAGGTATACTGAGACTCCTCTTGTAGGGGTTCACTCGCTTAGAGTCGAAGTGATGGTGAGTTGGTGGTTGGATTTTATCTTATGGTCTGTGAGACTATTGTAGTACCTGCGCATCTCGGGCGACAGACGATAACCGGCCGGGCCCGATGTCGGGACGGCGGAGATATTGGCAAAGAATCAACAAGCACTTTGATTCAGTCTGGGTTCTTTGACTACTGTACTCGTTATTCTGGGGTCTGGTATTCTGCATCACTTTCTCAATTGGGTCTGAACTGGCCTCAATTTCTAAAGGTCGTAGTCTCCATGATCTGAAGCATTGAGGGGTTTTGATGATCAGGGACTATAGTAGTTTTTTCATGGGATGCAATGAGACTGGTGATGTTCTGGAGTAGCTACAGTCTTGGAGCATTGCAGCTTACTATTAGTGTATACCATAGACCATGGAGTATAATCTGTGTAATCCGAGACTAAGTACTGTGGTACAGTACTACAGCCTCAGGCACCAACCGGTGATTGACCGCCCGGCAGGCCCCACCGAAGCAGTGCCGCTCCGGACGGGCGACCTGGTCTTCCTTCCATTGCTATTGCTGCTGCTGCTGCTGCTGCTGCTGCGGCTGCTCTCCGACTAACTTACTGCCTGCCTGCCTTCTGGACGTCATCTCCATACTCAACTCCCTCGCTCCCTTTTACCTCCTCCCGCTTTCTGATCAATCGCCTTCCTTTTTCCTTTCCCCCCCCCCCCGTCGCTCAATCTCAGTATCATCATGGCTGATATGCCTATTGGTACGTTGCGCTCCTCCCAACTCAACCCCTCCTCCCCCTCCTCCTCCCCCTTACTCTCTCCACCTGTCCCTCCTCTTCTTGCCCGGCATCTCCCCGTACCTCCCGCCTTCCCTTTCAGCTAACCACAACAATTCAACCAAACAGTGCTCGATGGAGGAACGGGTTTCCTCAAAGTCGGATATGCTGCGCAGGTCGGTCTACTCCGTTATGATCTCCTCTATTTCGTTCAATCATTAACGCTCGTGTCTTCCTGCAGAACTTCCCCGAGCACCAGTTCCCCTCGATAGTGGGGCGTCCCATACTGCGGACGGAAGAGCAAGCAGGCGACATTGTCGTCAAGGATATCATGTGCGGCGATGAAGCTGCTGCCGCCAGATCAATGCTCCAAATCACCTATCCCGTATGTCTATACATTTGCTGGTTCTGAATTACCGAAACCCAACCCCCCCCCGCCCTCGCGGCACAATTGAGCAGCCATGTTAACGTTGGGCCGGAATGGTTTCCTGGCCGGTCTCACTAGATGGAGAATGGAATTGTCAAGAGATGGGACGACATGCAACACCTATGGAACTACACTTTCTACGAGAAGATGAAGATCGACCCCACCGGCCGCAAGATCCTCCTCACCGAACCCCCCATGAACCCCCTGAAGAACCGGGAGCAGATGGCCGAGGTGATGCTGGAAGGCTACAACTTCGGTGGTGTCTACGTCGCTATCCAAGCCGTCCTTGCGCTGTATGCTCAGGGTAAGTCGCCAGTGCTCCTGAAACATCATCCCTGTCACCGACTAAGCTCCATGCTCTTTTTCGGCGAATCGCAGGTCTCAGCAGTGGTGTCGTCGTCGATTCCGGAGACGGTGTCACCCACATTATCCCCGTCTATGAATCCACCGTCCTGAACCACCACATCCACCGACTGGACGTTGCTGGTCGCGACGTCACCCGCAACCTGATCGCCCTTCTCCTCCGCCGCGGTTACGCCCTCAACCGCACGGCCGACTTCGAGACCGTGCGCCAGATCAAGGAGAAGCTGTGCTACGTCTCGTACGATCTGGAACTGGACAAGAAGCTCTCGGAAGACACGACGGTCCTCGTCGAGTCCTACACCCTCCCCGACGGCCGTGTCATCCGCGTGGGCAGCGAGCGGTTCGAGGCTCCCGAGTGTCTCTTCCAGCCGCACTTGGTCGACGTCGACCAACCCGGTATCGCCGAGCTGCTGTTCAACACCATCCAGGGTGCCGACGTCGACGTGCGCTCCAGTCTCTACAAGGCCATCGTGCTCAGTGGAGGAAGCAGCATGTACCCCGGTCTGCCCTCGCGTCTGGAGAAGGAGCTCAAGCAACTGTGGCTCACCCGCGTACTGCATGGAAACCCGGAGCGACTCAACGTATGCGCTTTTTGCCCAGATAAGCCCCATTCTATGCCATCCAGCTAACGTGGTCCCTATAGAAATTCAAGGTCCGCATCGAAGACCCGCCCCGACGAAGACACATGGTCTTCCTCGGAGGTGCCGTGCTGGCCAACCTGGTATGCAACCCTTCGTGGCCCAGCATGTGTCCGTCACTGCCTGCTAACCCTGTGTGTTCTTTTCTTCCAGATCGCCGACAAGGAGGATATGTGGGTCACCAAGCAAGAATGGGAGGAGCAGGGCGCACGTGCCCTCGCCAAACTCGGTCCGAGATAAACAGTCTAGGTAGTTTACCACTTTTCAAACCCAGTAACCCGTACATACATACATCCATACCTATCAACCAGCCTTTCCTAACCCGCCATATCCCAATCCCACCGTGACTTTATTCCGGAGACTTCAAGGCTCGTCACATCGCACTGTCTCTTCTAGCCAGATCCATTCTATCCTATCGAGGTATATCCATATCGATCTTCTACTTTATACTTCGCAGTTGAATATACATACTCTCCAAAGCGGGTGTGTATACTTGTTGTATGAGAAAAGATGAAGCGCGTGCCCGTCCATTCCCTTCGGCCTCAAGCTTGTTGTACAGTAATACACCATACCCTCGTCCTATGGTCGTCCTCTCAATAGGCTGCAATTGTAGATTCCACATGATGGTATGCACCGAATCACTGAACTTTTCAGGGTAATCAAATCACATACTTCCCACTCCCTGCTACAATCCATCTTACACGAATCTCAGACATAATCAACCCGAGTAGTCAACCGAAATCAACACAGAAATCCTTCGTCTAAGTCTATGTGGTGTATATATCTTCTACCAAACGAAAGAAGAAAAACAAACTCCTCAAGAATGCAGGACACAGGCCTCTATGATCCCAAGAATACAGAAAAAGGCAGGGGGGGGTTCATGCATGACCTATACAGAAGACAAGGTGGAAAGGGAAAAAAAAGATGTTATGTGAGTATGGTCACGCATCGTACAGCACACGCCCATCAAGTAGCAGGAACATAACACAGACAAAATAAGAACCAGAGGCCCGTCTCTACCAGCGGAGAGGCAAATGGATATCGAGGGAATATATAGATGGTGGGGTGGTGATGTTGAGGCGCAGGTGCCCCTGCTTGCCCCTTTGGGTTATTATAGGGGCTGTGATGACTTGTTTACTCATCGGAGTCGGACTCGGTCTGCTCGTTGGCGAGGACCTTCTTGCGCTCTTCGTTCATCTCGCGGTAGGTGCTCCAGCTAAGGAGGAAGAAGGCCACGATGATGAGGATGCCGCCGATGATGGAGGCCAGCGACAGGGGCTGGCCGGTGCGCAGCCAGTCGACGATCGCCACGAGGAAGATGGTCAGTAAGGCGGCGACGGAGGAGAGGACGGGCGAGGTCAGGGAGATCAGGACGAGGAAGGAGCCGGAGAATGCTGTGACAGAGAGGTGGTATTAGTTTGTTTTTCAATCCTCGGTTTATGGGGGTGCTTGATCGGGCTTGACTTACTGGCATTGGCGAGGACGGAGATCAGAAGCATCCAGGCCGCTTCGCCGGTCGGCCAGCGGAAGGTTTCCAGACCAATGATGTGCAGAAAGGGCAAGGGGATCCACAGGACAAGGAGCGTGAAGCATCCGATGAGGCTGCCAAACGTGTTCGCGAAGATCATGCTGCGTCCGGCGCTGGTGCCCTCCGGGGGACACGCGAACCGCTTGTATAAGACCTCGTACAGACCGTACAGCACACTGCCGATACCGATGATGATATTGCCCAGCAACCGGTTTTCGGCTTCGTCGTGCGCTTTGCCTTTCTTGCCGTCGTCGCGATCCCCGTATGCCACCACGAGCACCCCGACGATGGCTACCACGACCGCGATGATCTTGTCGGCCCGCAGTTTGTCCTTGAGGAGGGGGATCGAGAAGGCATACGCGAAGAAGGCGGAGCAATTGTAGATAGCGGTCAGGTCGCTCGGCGTGGTCATGTTGACCGCAACGTACCAGGAGCCTCCGGCGATTGTGAGAGCGGTGGTGACAAACGCCGTTGTTCGGAGCATATACGGGATAGGCGATCGCTGGGAATCACGAGACGTGAGGTGTACATCCTGGGTCTCCACCATTTTTGCCGTCGTGCGGAGGATATAGACATGCCGGCGCCAGAACGCCGCCCAGGACAGTTTGCGTTTCTGCAAGCGAAGGATGAGGAGCTGGAACGGCCACAGCAGCGCCCATGAACCATGTGTGAGATAGCTAGGTAGCAGCGGGGAAAGGTTAGCCTCTTGAATAGCGTAGAAGTCTCGAAGGTGAGCCCGGCGATCGTATACTCCAAACTTACAGCATACAATATGGTTTGTCCCAGTGCAGCTCGTGCTGAATGTATACCGCGGTCTCCGTCTGAACCACGAAACTCGCCAGGCTCAGAAGCAGGAACCCCGAGGCAATCATGTATTTTTGGCGTGTCGCCTGCTCCGCGCTGTGCTCGGGACTACTGCCGCGGATGGTCGGTCGCCGGGAATGGTGAAGCATAGGCCTGCCTTCTGCATCACCATTGCCCAGGCTGGCATTCGATAGCCGTCCCCGACGCTCATCCTTGAGCAGCGGTTGTTGGGCGCGGCCGTCAGCGGGTCGATGCATGACAGGGTGGTTCATGGGCATTTCATCGTCCGAATCGTGGAAGTCAAGGGCCGGATCCAGATCCCGGGCTTCTCCAACACCCGTTAATGGCACGCTATCTGCAGCCACCTTGTGCGGATTATCTGGATTGACGGATGTGAACAAAAAGTGAGAAGGGAGGAACGCGAGAAAAGCGACAATGAGACTCGGAAGCCTGCTCCTTGTCTCTATTATGTATGAACCGGGGCGACTATGACGAAGCGTGCGTCGGAAAGTGGGATGAAGGTGGGCGGGTAAGCCGCGCAGTCGGCCGAGGGAACAACCGGCAGCTCAGGTGGACGGAAGGATAGATTGGAGGGACTGCCGAAGGTTTAAAGCCCAACGTTCACGTGGGGGGGCCTAGCGAAGAAAGAATTGCAGCCCCAGCGGGTCAGTTGCCTGCGGGACAGAAGCGGATGATGAGGTCTTGAGGGCAAGGCATACAGCCTCGTATGTGTAGGATATCTCCGGTGGGAGGGAAGTACTTCGGACCGCTGCGCTGCGGCCACGTTTGCGAAAGTCGTTCGTGTAATATAATTGTGGGGGCGTCGGGGCAAGGACAGTAAGACGGAAGGGAGGAGGAACGAGCCAAGCCCCAAGAAAAATGAAAGAGGGTCTGCTGTAAGTAAGGGAGGGAGAAGAGTAAAGAAAGAAAAAGACGAAATATGGAAGGCTTGAAGGGTACCAGGATGTCAACTAGATGGCTGTAAGTCCGGAGTATGTGGTAGCGAGGTAGTAGGGGGGGCCTAATAAGTCGAGTCCATGCGCAGTTGCATTGCATCCGTTAAGGTAGTTGGCCCTATTCCCTTTCGAGTCAGGGACTACCGCCCCCCTAAGCAAAACCCTCACCGCCTCACTCAGCAGCGAGTCGGAACTCAGCGGCGGTGCAGCGCTAATTCGGTTCCGGCTAGTCACGTGTGGGGTTTCGGAGCGAGTCTCCAGCTTTCAAGGGCTTCCCCGCCAAGTCGCCGGATGGGGTCTTTGTCTTAGACAGCCTGGAGGTCAATACAGAGTACATGAACTTGGAATTTCTGATTGAGCAGAATTGCTATTACGACACCCTGATGCCTCCTCCGTCCCACCCCCGGCAACGTGAGAAAGAGATCTTGGACTGCTGCTAATTATCGATTCTCTAACCTTGTCATCATAATATTTACCCATGTCGAAGATCTTCCTCCGCCACATATCAATGCGCAAACCGGAAATCCATGCGTTTGTTCCCATCATCCTTGGTCGTCGCGACATAGTCAAGCTTTTGTTCCTCGGTCATCAAGTTCCAACGTCGGTCTCGCTCATGATTTCGCAGCATGTAGTAAGCCTTAGTAGCAATGTAGAGTATTATGTTGACGCCCACAAGTATCAGAAGCACTCGGTTGCCGACGATGTAACGCGGTGCATCCCCTACACACACAACGGACGCATCCATAGTCAGTCAGGAATGCTTCCGAGATGCGTCACAAATGATCGACACTCACCATCTGTGTATATGTTTGAGGAGATGATGGCAGACAACTGAACAGACATATTGTATATCGCCGCCGCAATGGCCCGAGTTCTGATGCTATTCGAATTGCGGGAAATCCACCCCGCTTGGAGTGCATGAGCTGCATATATGATTCATCAGTAACCATAGTGATTTCCGAGGCTGAAACAGCAGAAGCAGCCTCCACCGGACATGCACTCACCACTCGGGAGGCTGAGAAATAGGGTGAGGACAGTCCACACCACCCACTTGTTCGGTTGGCTGAGGTCCACCGCATTCATATAAATCAACATTGGCAAACTCCAGACCTGGGCGATGAGTCCCATCCATGATAGAGACTCGAAATACTCGCCCGCGTACGTGAGGATGATTCGGGTGATGATCATGAAGACCTATCGTTAGCAGATTAGCGTCTCACTACTGGTACTCAACAAACAATCAAACATCTGGTCTCGCACGCACACTGTATGGCATAGACAAAAGAATGGAGTTGAAGGTATCGAATCCGAAGTCCTTCAGTTGCAGAGTGAAATACTGCGAGACCGTTGCTGTTCACATTTTATCAGCTTGGACTTTTCTTCTGACGGGCGGAGCTTGAATCCAAGTAGATTCACTCACTCCAGGGGGTCAGAAACATGATCCCGACAATGTACAGCGGCCACAGGTCGAAATCGCTGAAGCTAAGCCACACCAGCTTCGCTGTCAAAGGCTGTCTGTTGTGCATTGAGCCCTTACTGGGATCTTCGCGTAATATGCGATTGACCATGATAACTTCCTCTCTGTGAAGTAGCTGGATTCAGTGCTCAGAGGTCGCACAAGCTTGACTAGAGAACCACATACCGTTCTGTAAACCAGCCGTCTTTGCCTCGGGCCCAGTTTGCAGTCTGAGTAGGTCCAGGTGGCAGAAAGACGAAGGACAAGAGTCCCAATGCCAGAGTGAAAAGACCCTATATCCTATGAGTAACAGTATTCTGGGGCTTGGGAGAACGTGACTGACATCAATCAAGAAAAGCCATCGCCAGCCAGCTTGACCACCACGGCCTCCCAGATGCAAGATGCCGTATGCCAGAAGGGCCGCCAGTATGTCGGCTAGCGAAGAAGCTGAGTACCAGAAGCCAAGACGTATTGACAGCTCGTGGTGCTTATAGAAGTACGACAGGTAAAGTAACATCTAGAGCCGGTCAGAGCAACTTCCTAGCACCTAGCCATCATTCGAACTCACTTACCGTGGGTGTGAATCCTCCCGACAAGATACCAATCAAAGCCCTGGTTACTAGGAAAGACGTCCTGCCAGACAGCCAGAACTGACAAGTAGCGACTATAGACCACGATATCATCTGGATCGGAATCCAGCGGTCCGCGCCGATCTTCTTGCCGATAATCTGCGCCGGTATCTCACTTAACAGATAGCACAACCTATACACCGTATTTCCCAAGTTGTAATCTACCTCGGGCAGAGCAGTCAGTACAGCGGCGTGGTGTGATAGGTGCTCACTGACCATCGCGGCTAAGATTCAGGTCGGTCAGAAAGTTATCCGCGTTGGCTTGCTCTGGTACGGTCAGAAACTAGTCGACAGACAGGGTCGAAGCTTATCAGGGGCGGCGGTACATACGGATATTGGATCTGTCGAGTTCCAGCGCAGTTATCATCACGCAAGCCCATAGAATTATGCGGATATCGAGCTTCTTGACCACGCTCTGCATCAGAGTTAGCTTTCAACACCATCCATGCTTTTGACTTCCTAGGGTGGAGGTACATCTTCTTCGCCTCTGGTCCATCGTGCTGCTGGGTCGAACCGATGTATATTCTCCCAGTCCGGTCGTGGCTTGTACTCCTCCGCTAAATCTGGGTCGTCGAAGACCGACGGCTGCGTCGCGATAGCATGTGGATTGTATGTCTTGGACCGTTGAAACCAGAAGCGATGAGAGTCGACCGCATCATCACCAAGTTGCCCATCGCTAATAGATGCTGAAGGCTTCTCCGTCACACTGACCGTAGCCTTTTTCTCGACGTCCGATGTAAGCGTTGTGGAAGAGAGCACTGTTAAGCTCTGCTTGCGTGCAGCCGAGCGAGCAATGACAAGCGACATGATTTTTCCGGGGTGCCTGGATAGGCTCAATTGCGACTTGGATCAACCCCCGGAGTAAATCTTCGACCGCCACACCAGGTCAATCAACAATTTAAGTAGTTTAGTTTTTTAGTCCTTCATTGCAACTCTCAACAGCCAAGCGGCAGGCAAGGGGACTATTGTCAAGCCACCCTCATGGTTTTTTCTCACCCATGTCCCGGTAGCAGATATCAGTGTGACCTCGGAATCTAGATCCCAGCATTGATGCGGCTCCTCAAGCGCTTGAGGTGTTTTCGACTGAGACCCATGGGTTGAGAGAGCTGCGGGCCCCCTTGATGCAGTCTTCCTTGGGCTGTCGAGGCTCGTTTGCGTTCTGCGCTTGCCGGTAGTTCGCGCTGCATAGTAGTAAGGTATCACTGCAGCACGAGCGCCAGGACCTATTTGCGCAAGCGATGGAAACAACCTTGTCAGGAGCGAGAGGGAAGTCAGCTTTGCCTTCCTCGAATTCCTCTGAGTCTGGCTCCATTTGAGAATTAGAGTTTTGTGACAAAATCCCCTAGTCCGGTGCTGCTGGCAAGCCGGATAGGAAGTATGTACAGCATCTTCATGGAATGGTCACGCAAGGAAGTGATAAGCGCATTGTCAAGGAGTTATTTGCGACAGGCCTGAGACTAGGGATTCTTGAGGCCGTGAGTGAGAAATGTGGCAGAGGTGCTGTCAGACGCCTTCCCCAGATTAGTCTTGGAACATGGGCCTAGATTCATGTAAGGGACTGACTGGCTTTGAGGCTACAACAGATTCGGACCATGTAGTATGCGAGGATCGACTCCTGATAGCTCAGAATAGGAGTCTCGTTGCGTACGATGAACAAAAGAGTTCCTCCAGCTATAGCGAATTGGAGGGGAATCTTGTTCCGGTCGAGAACGGAGATAACCGTGATGCTGCGCGTACCGGTAGTCGCTCTTGTTAGACTTGACGTAGAAAGAGCCTTGTATAGAGATCACAGAGCTAAATGCTTCGCAGTCAAAACATTCGGCGGCGTCTGTTTCCGAATATGCTCCTCAGCCTGTCGGCGATATGCGACACCGACCAAGCTGCAGCACGGGTGGTGGGTGGTGGGTGGTGGGTGGTGGGTGGAATGCCATCGATGCTCTAGACCCTCCAAGGGTTGCTGTTCATGTGATCTTCCATCTATCTACTCCGTACTCCGTAACTTGGAACAACAATTGCATCCCGTCTCTTGATGCTCGATCGACTCGTGATGGCCTACTTTGCCGGCTTACAATAATGCATTCCGATTTGACTGCGTGCTGCATGCCTTCCGCCACTTTTACTGCCAATTTACTACTTACCATAGTACCATGGTATCGCTGCCAATTCGGCCACCCTCCTTTTCCCTTTTCCAACCTCATGTGAGGTTGCGCGTTTTCTTGTTACGTCCGTATCACATGTGAGTTGTAAATCGAGCCACGTAGCTTGGCAATTTGGGTTCCTTATCAAAGGTTTTCGTGCTCACAATGTCCCCGGCCTCAATTTATCTTTTGTTTCAGATATGTAGGAAAGTGTGTGACAACCAGCTTGCGATTGGATGGAGTGATTTCATATATCGAGACTCATTGATTTCATATTTGTCTTGTTCCGTTAACTTACTGTCACTCGCACCACACTTAGGCGTCGGCCTTCGGCTTGAACAATGCCTCCTTCGTATCATATGTGTACTTCAGATCAAGGTGCCAATAGTCCGGCGCCGTGGGCTTCGCAATCAGCCATGCCTTGTCCAGGGCCTCCACCACTTCCTCGGGCAACGGGCCCTTCTGGATGTCTCTGAGATTGCTCTCTAGCTGTGCGATGCTGCTCACACCGACGATAATGCCGTCTCGACCACCCTCCTTGATGTTTAGAAGAGAGTGATGACGGATCCAGCGGAACGCAATTTCCGGCAATGTCAGACCGTGCTTCTCTGCAACAGGCTCGATGATCCGCAGGGCGTCAAAGGTCGCGTCCTTGAAGTAGCGTTTGCGATACAACGTGCCAGTGGAAGACTTATCGCTGTATCTGCCGTCTTCGGGAATATCCTGGGTCTTGTACTTTCCAGACAGGATTCCACCAGCAAGCGGGTTGTACACCACAATGTCGATGCCATACCGCTTGCAAGCATGAACCAATTCGGTTTCAATGGAGCGAGCTGTGGCAAGGCTGGTTAGTACTATCATGGGGCATCATAATTTCCAGAAACCCGAGCAAGCGACTCACTGATAGCATTGTACATGGCCTGGTAGATGGTCGGTCGTACCCAGCCTCTCTCGTTGCAGACTGTGACGATCTCCGCGACCTCGAAGGCAGTGAAGTTACTCAGACCGAGCTCGACGAACTTTCCCTCCTTGTGCAATTGATTGACAGCCTCCAGGGTTTCCGTGAAGGGGACCGAGCGGTCGGCAGCATGAAGGTAGAAGATGTCAACGCAGTCTGTGCCCAGGTTCTGCAGTGAGAGCTCGAGTTTCTCACGAATGACATGTGGCTTGTGGTAGCCCGGCTGCCCGGGGTACCACTTGGTGGCCAAGGTCAACCCACGCTCCTTCCACTTCGTCTGAGCAGTGAAAGCTTCCTGTTGTCCTCCTACATATGTGCGCGCAGTGTCAACCTCATTGAAGCCTTGCTGTTGGAAAAGGTCCAGGCACTTGTTGAATTCATCGACTGAGGTGATCCGAGCCCCTGCAGACTCGTCCGGACCAAATGTCATCAACCCAAGGATGACCCTTGGTAGGGGGTTCTGAGCGACGAGAGGCATGGTGGAATATAAGGCGAATGGCTCAGCGTTCAGACACCTAAGGCGGGGTACAGTAGAGCTAAGAGGAAGTTAGCTTGTGCCGGGATTCGCAATTGGCTATATTGCTGAATGTGATAAATACCTGAAATGCAATGTCTGGGGATAAGGAGATTTATCAGAGAATGATTGAGACTGGTCCTCGTCGAGAAAGGATGGGTTATGAAGGAAATACAATGAAAGCAGGTGTTAGGGAGATAAGAGCTGTATTTGTCACCTTCCCCGCCATAGTTGACTGACTAGTTGAGTATGGCGCAACCCACACCCCGCCCGTCCGACGGCATCGCCGAGCAGCTGTATATCTCGGCTTCGATCGGCAGCGGCTACCATAATTCCTGACTCAGTATCAACATCTTGACTGACTTAAGCATCATTGCATATTTTGTTTTAGTATGTGAAGCATAATTGATGATGGCTTGGTTTCCTTTCCTTGGGTAACCAGCTCTCACTGTTGGGCAACAATTACTAACAAATCCGCTATCGGCATCTGGTGAACTCTGATGAGCTTGACTCATCAACATACTTTGGCCATACCGTCATTGTACCTGCGCCCGACTCCTGATCTCATTCTTGCCACACTGCTTTCTACAAGATGAGCGCCCCAAGCAAGGACACATGCTCGATACTGGTCATCAACCCGAACACCTCGTCGCATATGACCAATGCGCTAATTCCACTGTTGGATAATCTCGGCCACGGGGGTACTCAGTTCGACTACTTCACAGCCCCGGTGTCGGAAACCGTCACTCTTCCGGACGGCAGCATTGTGGAGGGGGTGCCCAGCATTGACTCAGGCGAAGACTCGGTGAAATCGGCTCTCTACTGCATGCCGTTTCTTGAGCGCATCATCTCCGAATATGACGGCTTTATCGTATGTTGCTTCTCAGCACACCCTCTTGTGGGGATGTTGAAGGAAAAGGTGCGCAAGATCGAGGAATCAAACACCTCCATCGTGCCATCGGAGCAGAAAGTGAAGCGAAAGTACGTCACGGGTATTTTCGAAGCTGGAGTGCTAGCTTCGCTGGGCGTGGTCAGCTCGTTTCAGTACGCATCAGGGCATGGCTATCACAAGTCCCAGTCGCCGGAAACTTTCGGCATCATCTCCACCGGCAAAATTTGGGAGGCGGAGCTCAGCAGTGCCGTTGCTGAAATGCTCGGTCACTCAAGCGACGGTAGCATTAGCCACTTTGCTGGGGTTGAGACTACAGGACTGACCGCTGTTGAGCTGCACACTACTCCTCCTCAAGAAGTGAGAAGACGGCTTGTTGAAGCAACTGAGCGACTCCTCAAAGGCTCGCAACGTCCCGTGGGCGCGATCTGCATGGGCTGCGCCGGTATGGTAGGCATGGAAGAAGCGGTCCGAGAAGGGTGTGTGAGAGCATATGGTCGGCAGAAGGGCTGTCAAGTGAGAATCATTGACGGGGTTGCTGCCGGGGCGGGGATGCTTGTGACAGCTTGCAAAGTCGGTTACTGAACCAAGCCCACATTCGGCCTCCTTTGTACATACAGAAATTTGATTGCTCTGGGTAGGTCAGGGTGGGATAGAGGCTCTTTAATGGGCCTGTTGTTGAATTTAGAACAGCAGCGATCTGGCCATCCGTCAAATAGTACGGCAATTATGCGCAAAGCCTAAGCTTCGATGAGAGTGCACATCAGTCGGTAGCGCGGATCAATGCGTGAATATCCCGCTCACTCGTGGAGACGCTGTAAGCTAAGAAGAGAGATCCATGTTCTTATGAGTAGCAATCTCCAACCGAGATGTGTCGGGCAGGAACGCGTTGCGCTCGAGTCCAGGCAAGTTCATTGTTGTAGAAGCTGCCTGCTGGTAGCAGTTTTGGCCTGAGGCCGCCACACCTAACCTAGATTGAAAGCTGGAAGTTTCCCCGCGGAACGCGCTACGCGTGGGCCAAAAACCACGACTAACTGACGGTGGTCAAGCAGAAAGATGCCCAGGTATGTGCCACAATCTCGCTTCTCTTGTAATCAGTCTCAGGTCCTCTATCTGATTATTTACATTGCTAATTCCGAGATCAGAGAAATAATCACAATCCAAGCCGGCCAGTGCGGCAACAATGGTACCTAGTCCTGCTCCAACACTATTTCTTATCGCAAACAACAATAGCTTCCCAAGAATGTGTTTCTTTGCTCGAGCGTTGGGACTGACTGACATGTCATTTAGTCGGCTCGCAATTCTGGCAGCAGCTTTGTCTCGAACACGGAATAAGTCAGGATGGCAATTTAGAAGATTTCGCAACTGAAGGCGGCGACCGTAAGGATGTCTTCTTCTACCAGGTACGCCCGCGGATTCCACAGCTTGGGTGCCTGGACAAACAAGTCTAACAACTTTTTCTCTTCTAAGAGCGATGATACTCGATATATCCCCCGAGCGATCCTTCTGGATCTTGAGCCCAGAGTACGAACCCTCCCTCGGCAGCAATCAGTCGACACGTCTATAGTGCACAGATCATGAGCTCATGCTTCCCAACCAGGTCCTCAATGCTATTCAAGCCGGTCCCTACCGCAACATCTACAACCCCGAGAACTTCTTTATTGGTCAGCAGGGCATTGGCGCAGGAAACAACTGGGGCGCCGGTTACTCGGCGGGTGAAGTTGTGCAGGAGGAGATCTTCGACATGATCGATCGAGAAGCGGATGGGAGCGATTCACTTGAGGTATGATCCATGGTGCCTAAGGAGGAGACACACAAAGACCGGCACTTCAATACGTCGCTCGAATCATGGGGCTGACATCGCACTATGTTAGGGATTCATGTTTTTGCATTCGATCGCAGGAGGCACAGGCTCTGGTCTGGGCAGCTTTATCCTTGAGCGGATGAACGACCGATTCCCCAAGAAATTAATGCAGACATACTCTGTCTTTCCCGATACCCACTCTGTGGACGTGGTCGTCAACCCATACAACAGTCTGCTCACCATGCGACGGTTGACGCAAAATGCCGACTCTGTTGTAAGACCTCCTTGAATCCTACGTACCCTGCCGGGATGTTCTCGGTACAAGCTGAAATAATTGTCTCTCATATTTAGGTTGTGCTGGACAATGGCGCTCTCTCAAGAATCGTTGCCGACAGACTCCATGTGCAAGAACCATCATTTCAACAAACAAATCAGCTAGTATGATCCTCATGCGCAGACAACAGGAGCAAAGGAAACGGACGTGTCCCTAACACTGTCTTTCTAGGTATCCACCGTCATGTCCGCCTCCACCACCACCCTCCGTTATCCCGGCTACATGCATAATGACCTGGTGGGAATCATCGCTTCCTTGATACCCACACCACGCAGCCACTTCCTCATCACCTCCTACACCCCCTTCACCGGCGACAACATCGAGCAGGCCAAGACCATCCGGAAGACGACCGTCCTGGACGTGATGCGCCGACTCCTGCAGCCCAAGAACCGCATGGTGTCGATCAACCCCAGCAAATCCAGCTGTTACATCAGCATTCTCAACATCATCCGGGGCGAAGCCGACCCGACCGACGTCCACAAGTCGCTGCTCCGCATCCGCGAGCGGCGCCTGGCGTCGTTCATCCCGTGGGGACCCGCCAGCATCCAGGTGGCCTTGACGAAGAAATCACCATACATCCAGGACACGCACCGCGTCAGCGGTCTGATGCTGGCCAACCACACCTCAGTCGCCACCTTGTTCAAGCGGATCGTTCAGCAGTACGACCGCCTGCGCAAGCGCAACGCTTTCTTAGAGCAATACAAGAAGCAGAGTCCCTTCTCGGATGGCCTTGGGGAGTTCGACGAGGCCCGAGCTGTGGTTATGGACCTGGTTGGGGAGTACGAGGCGGCCGAGGGCGAGGATTACCTGGATCCGGATGCTAAAAAGGAGAAAGAGCTCGGAATCTGATGTGTGAACGAACGACCCTCTTGTCTATCTCTTTGTCGTTCGCATGTTTAAGTTTTGTGTGTGTGAGGGTGTGTGTCTCTGCGTTTGGACATTCCTGATGTGATTCCTTTTGTTTAATGACTACCAAGGGTTGACTAATGTATATCAAGCGGCGAAGGCGTTTCTCAAATTGATGGTTGTTTCTTCTTTCTGATAAAAGAAAGCCAACTTAGAATGCATACATACGGCCATCCTGTCCTGTTCTGGCTACATGAGTTCGAGCTTCCCAACAGAATTGGGGCTCGTTGTTGGGCTTGAGTAGGACGGACACCTGGACAGCCAGTTGTCGGACGTCGGTAACAGTTACACAACGGTTTCACCGGCCGGGGAGGTGTGGTAACTGGGTAAGCGATCAGGCCAAGGGGCGGCGGGGGGGG